ATTAACAAAACTGCCAAGTAGTGTCCATATTTTGGAGAAGGCATGATGTAAATCACGTAATCTGAAACAAAAGAAAGTGTATTTAAAACTTTCTGTTACTATTGACTATGCACTTTCAGGTAAATACATATAAAATGTAGCACTAAACTTTATGAATGTAGATGATTCTATTGCAATTTGTTAAAGTTTTTTGTGATAACAATCGCTTCTGTTAATTTCTGTTTATGATTTTATTAGAAAACTTTTAGAATCATATTAAAATATATGACGGTTTTTCTAGTAACAATAAAATATTTAACGATGTTCCTGCACTCATTTGGATAGCTAAATAAATATTGTATTTGACATTTATTGTACAAAAGATGTTAATAAATTGTACATCTCTTTCCGAATGTCCGTCTGCAAGTGAATCTAGCATTACACAATACTTGTTGGTCAATAGTCAGTGCCCTTGTACCTTGTAGCTGATGAAACCTTTGATTCAGAATTCTTTGTATTAAAACATATAGAATATTCTAGATCAGTTAGAAATATTAGTATAATAACGGTTAAGATATTTTTAGAACCAATTTCACTAGACGACATAGAGTTGTTTGTTTTTTTAAATTAGTAACAAGATTTCATCTGCACCTTCTCTCGTGAAAAAATATTATGGGGATGAATAATGTTGTATGATGGAGATAATCATTGAAAAATATCTTTCGTATTTCGAAATATTCATGAAGTATAACATACAAAGATATACAAACTTCAACCTTACGTTAAAGCATTGGAAAGGACAAATTTATAAAAAAAACTTGAGTTATGTTCAGTATCATAATTTTCTATAATTTTCATTGTGTAGTTGTGAAAATTTTAATAGTTATATAACTTCAGCTAAACAATTTGGTTACTTAGTAAGTAAAAAAAAATTGTACATATATTTACTGCATATTGTACCTTTAAAAACATACACTCAATATTATGTGGCTTTGCATAGAACAATTTTTAATAATATTTTTAGCTATTCAAAGTGCACACACAATTTGGTTAATAAAGCAAACATACAACGTCAGTACAAAACGCTAATTTTGTAATGGTTCTTACAATAGTATTAAATGAACTGCTTGAACATGCAATCTGTGTTTTGAGAGAAAGAAATACACCACCTACATTGCTTGGATTGTTTGATTCTGAAAAGGTTTTAAATACTAAACAAGCAATGAAAGCTGAACATGGGAATTCGCGTCAGTCATTAAGCATCGGAACAACAATTGCGTGTGAAGGTCTGCTAACACATTGACATAATTTGCGCAAGTCTAATACAAATAGTCATCTTTTTTAAGAAAATTATGCAGAGGCATATTATTTATCAATTACTATTCATTCTTCAAGAATTTCTGTTCTGTTTTAAACTTATTGTTGCAAACGAATTTTGGTGGGTTCTCTACAATATCTTTATTTTACAGAGTCTGTTAGTGTGAAATATATATGAACATAATCGAAAAGCTAAATACATAAAGTTAATAACGTGATAATAATTATAACTCTTATGCACTAACCAATTAAGATAATACGAAGGGTTAAGGGTAACTAAAGTAGTATTATTTATGTATTTCTTTTTCATTAATTGCTATAAATAATTGTTTATAATTTTGGAAATTTTTTGAAACACAAATCATCCTTATGTCCTGAATGAACTCAGATTCTCTTTAAGTCTTAAGCATCTCATTAAAGACATGAGGAGATTGCAAAACCTATGAACTACTTCTGTTATTATTTCTTCTTTTAAATATTTTTTCTAAGACACTTTTTACATTCTCGAGTAACAGTTAAGATATTATATGTTTATCTAACCTAAGAGAAGAATATTTAAAATACTATTTCACAATATTACCAACATTAATAATATAATTTAATAAAACACATTTTAAATAAAAAGTAATTTTTGATGATAACTCTTATGAGTGAAAAAATGCAATTCAGTTGATCAAAAAATATGATTCTACCACTATACTACTATTTCTACTCAAACATTTTTTCTGAATCTCAATTTTCTTAAACTCACTACAAAGTCTTCTAAGATTAAGATGTCTAACCATTTAAGTAACAAAATTTCAACCAGAACATATGAGAACTAGTGTAAATGAAACCAAATACGACTTTCTCAATTATAATATTAGAATCACAGAATTTTATGAATACAATCATGTTAAATTACATTAAGCGATGGCATCAGTTATTAAAATAATATAATGGGTATGTTTAATTGCGCTTGCCTAACAAGCGGCGTGAATTTGACCCAAAAAATTTGCGGACGAGGCCGTTTTACTGAACCACAATTGTAGGTTGACCCAGACTTTGGTTTACGGAAGTTAAATAGATTACTGTCTAATGTACTAGAAATGTGTTTTCTTACACATTAAACGTAAAAGAAGTTGTTTTTATATATTAATTGATGTTACTTTTCAATGTCGTATTTAGTTTATAACTTAAACTATCACTTACATATAATATATATCACTATTAGATTAATATCTGTGTAAATATCTAATGGATTTAAGGTTATCCGAACTGGTCCCAGGTATTGGTTGCAACATGTATGATAAATTTATGCATTAACTATCTAGAACTAGTAAATTGCACGTTTCAATGGATGCAATTTTGAGATATTACACCGATAATCAAGTATAATGATAATTGAGAACAATATAAATTTAAAAGTTAATCCTTTCTGTATGTGTTTATTTGATACACAATCTCCAGAACCAATGTCAATAAACTTTATATTTAGGCAGCTAACGTGCTAAAAATAAGTAAAAGATTCCTTCTATCAGTAAAAGATTTAATATTCGTCTGATACAAAAAATACTTCGTCAAACATTCAAATGATTGCCAGTATTATTTGAAGCATAAAATGATTAGTACAATTTTGGATCTGACTAATAGTCCATAGCTTTATAGCTTTAGTTTTTTGTACTTACCATATAATCAATACGAATTTTTTTCCCTTCTTCAGACATCCTGAATTCAATAATCATCAGTTAATATTTATTTATGCACGCGTTTAATTGATTGTGGCTGGATTTTTATTAAAATTAATGAATATTTCATACGTCCGAACCTATAAACATTCCAAATGTGGAATTTTAAACGTAGCTTCGAATAATTCTTAATAACCCGTGTGTGGCGTACTTGAAATCTAATATGTACATGGTGTTATAACTGTTTAGGAAAGTTGCTGTTGGTCAATTATATGCTGTACTGGTATTTTTAATTGCTTTTTTTTGTGAATTTAATATTCGTATAGTCCAACATAGTTTTTTATGTTTATCCATGTGTGATATAAACAATTTAACCTACAATTCAGCAGTAGACAAATAGGCAGCCCTCCATAGCCTCGCCTCGTGTTGTTGACCTAAACATGTAATGTGCCATAATTTGCCTTATTCTATTAGTTTGTTTGTATACAACAGTTTCATTTTTTTAAATTGAAACCGGGGAAAATCTTCCAACGAAAAAACAAATACTTTTAAAGGTCTATTTTAAAATAACAATAAGTTAGTGAGGAATTTATGACTAGGTATATACCTATATATGTATATTAGGTACAGTTATGGATTGTATTGATATTCTTAATCACGATTTTGGTTCCCAAACAAAAACCTTTGTAATAAAGTTATGTTATTATCTATTATTGTGAATAATTTTATTATACTTGTTTATAATAAAAATAACTTTCTTAATGAAATGCATCCATTTGATATAAGAATATTAACTTAAAAACCAGTTACAAAACAAATAATAGCTTTATTTGAAGGTTATTTTATATTCAAAACCAGTCATCACAGACGAATGAGAATAATGTTTAAAGATAACCGTTTTGCGAATCTAACTTGCAAGGCTATATATATGTTATTACCGCTACTTTGTTATTAGCCAGTTAGTATTGTAATAGGTCATTGGCAGGATGTTCGCGGATCCTATATGAATCAGACGTTTACCGAGCGTCTTGTACGCCACGTGACAAAGGAATTCCAAATTAAGTAATTTACTCATCATTCCGAGTTACTAAGTACTATAACAAGTCAAGTAAATATTTATACAAGTTATAGTTATGTAAATGATATTACTAAATTGTATGTAAGCTGAGATCAAGCATTCTATGTAGTATCATGGCGACCTTCTGTAATGACATATCTGGTACCTTTTCAAAGTAATTTGATAGATTGACATGAAAATTCGGTGTCATAGCTATTATTACCACTTAAGAACTTGTAATGGGCATTATCTATACGGTTTTGTATCACCTGCTGTATGTATAAGTTATTTTAACTGAGCTATTTTATAAACATATGTATAGTCTTAAAACTTTTAGATGTTTTAATTTGGAGTTTTCTTTAAACACGAAAAAGGTAAGTGATGAAATCTTCATTACTGTTGCAGATATTATCATTTTAATTCGTTTCCTGTGCTTGTTAATTTATCGTTATGCATTGTTGTTAATAGGTCAGCTGATATTTGAAATGCCAAATCCAGTTGCATTTGGCATTTATATTTACTTCCGTTCTGATTGCCATAGAAATCATTGTAACTCATTTAGCTTAACTTACTCTAAGATTTACTGTTAAATATAATATCAAAGAGTGAAAGTTATCTTTAGAGTAATTGATAAGGAAATTCTAATAATGTTTTATGCGCATATAAATTGCTAACAATTTATTACAAGGCACTCAAATGGGCAAGCTTACGCAATGTAACAATGCAGACGATGCAACTTACGTTATGCGGGCAATATTAAATCCATCAATAAAAATTACGCTAATTCGACACGAGGTACAATTGGTGGGCAATCCGTCCTTGCATTCACCACAAGGCACTTCGCCCACATTATCACCAAATATCATCTCACTTCTTACAACTTCTAGCCATAATGAAATAACACTCACCTTAGTTACTGCTCATCTCACGTATCCAAATGTATTTTTCTTAATTGCTGTAATAACATTTAATACTAATGTTTACGGGGCGAAAGCGTATGAACGCGGAAGTAAGCGGCGTTTGTGGATGTCGACTCGCGCGCGGTTGATGTGCGACTCAGCGGGTTGAGTTTCTCCGATGGAGCTGTCGCGTGGAGAAAGTTTCGGCCATGGAGAACCCGCGTCGGTTGGCGGATGCTTTGGTGGGGACGTGACGTATAGCTGGGCATCTTGGCTGGTCGGGTCACCGGTCAAACATATGTGAACCTGTCATGACGAATTACAATAGGAAATCAGGTCTAATTTATCTAAAAGAACATAGACTAAACAAAAGAAAGGTGAAATTTTAATAAATACGTATTTGTATTAAATTAAATACTTGAATATACTTACAAAATATATTTACACATTTCAAAACTAAAATTTATAAATTATAAAAGAAATTTATGTACGTGAATGTAAATAAGATAAAGATTATTTCCTAAGTCATATAATCTGAAAATTATAACTAATATAAATTCACAAACATCAAAAGCGATGTGTAAAACTAATCTGCTTTGTAAGTATTTATTTAAACGAGCAAAGAACCCTAAAAAGTTCCCTTAGTTTAAATGTGAACGTCGTTAACTGAAATGAATACAAATGTCCTGTGTACAAGACATAATAATTTAACCAATTAAAATTTTCCCACGGAACCAATTCTAGAAGAATTCGAATCCCTGTCGAGATGCGAATGTTGATAGTAAAACTGAAATGTTGTTATGTCATTGGAAAGACGATCTTAGATTGATTGATTGATGTTCTTGTTTAGATTGCATTGTGTGGGAGTATTGAAAGTAGTGAATTAAAGACAAATTCCATGTACCAACATGTATGTATAATATAGGACAATTACTATACATATATTGATTTATTTGCACTTATAAAACTAACCTGTAAACTGCGGCTTAGCTTGGCCAATAAATGTTATGATTATATTGAATTCTTCTGAATGTTTACGTGCCTTCTAATGTATAAAGGCTCATAAAAATCAGTTTAGTAACTTCTTCGTAACCGTTCATACATTTTACAAGACTTTTATCAACAAATAGTGAATTGTATTCATAAAAATAATGTGTAATAGTTCAGCTGTGCTGAAATAGAGAGTTGGTAGATAAGAATAAATCACTTGAATTGATTACAAAAATATTTACTTATATGTAAAAAAAAACATCTCGTGTCCAATCATCGGAGTCGTAAAAATTATTAATGTGGTAGTTTGTTAATACAAACAGCGACAAAAGGGGAACTTCGGCGTTTTACATCCACGATGACATCTCGACCATACGAAATTACAGGCACGGATTTATAATAATATTTATAAATATATGTATAGATTGTATTTAATTATGTTCACTTATAAGTAAATTTATTTATTTATAATCAGAAATTCAGGTTGAAAATACTTTTAGAAATTTTGTGGCCGAGGTTTTTATAATATTCATCTGAAATTTTTATTTTATTTTTTTCGTTCGTTCTTATACTAAAAAAATATATATTTATACTAAAATTGTACTTAAATTATTTATATTTCTATGAATATATTTAGTGCATATTGTTTTCATAATGGTAATTGTAGTTTTCAACACGGGATAAATATAATTTAATCATTGATTTTTAACTGCATATAGCTACTAGTAACATTATCACTGAATACCTTTTCAGTGTTTGCTATCCTATTAGATATTAATTGCAATTTCTAAATCAAATCTGTCCAATTAATTAAGCGTAATTACAATTCGGGCCTGTTTCATCAGCCATCTGTTTATACAATTATCTGTTAAGAGGCCAGGCAGTGGCGCGCGCTGTTCTTCCTAAATGACTCCTTAACATCGGAACTTGTAGCAAATGGATTAGTTCATCATCTGCATCCGATGGGACTGTATCCTTGGGAGCTAAATATTATCATGGACACGTATACAAGCTATCAAATGAGTGATGAAACTTGGGAGCAGTTTCGTACAGTGACACAAACTAAAAATGCGCCTGCGCAAAAACAGAGATGTCAGGCGAATGCGCGGGAAAGAGATCGGACTCAGAAGTTAGTATTACAACAAATTAAATTTTATTATTATTATGTTATTATATAAAAATATGTCGGGATGTAGAAATTTTTAGCAAACTTTTTACATCGGAAATATTTGTTAATATTAAGAAATGTTCTTTACTTTGAACCATTTTATGTGTTATCCTTAATGGCCTGCTAGAAACTTTAAGGAGTAAACATAGGAGTACAATATAGAAATTGAAAATACATAAACACACATATGTAAATATATATACATATATGGAAAACAATACAGTGTAGAGTTTGAAAAGTACATATATAATTTTATTTGTGTTAATTGAACTATCGTTGGTCTATTACATTCAATAGCATGTAGAATTAAAACAAGTATAACAGCCTAGAAATATTTTAAAATATACATATACCGAATTCAAATTTATTAGATTTCATTTATAGCTTCGTGCAATTTAATTATTGTTATCAAAATATATTAAATATCTAAGCAGTGTAAACATGGCGTTCAATACTCTCCGACATCTCATACCCACGGAACCAGCAGATCGAAAACTTAGCAAAATAGAGATCCTCAGGCTCGCTGGCAGTTATATCACACACCTCGACAATCAACTGTATACTGGTAAGGATACTATTTTATTTACACCTAAGATATACCTTAAATACCAAGCTGAATATACGAATAGGCTTATTTAATATTTAAAATATGTATATTTCAATAATAAGCTAACGATTGTAGAATATAAAAGATGATGTGTAATGACAAAGATAAATAAAACATTCTCTTCTTTTTCAAATTAAATAGGGGTTTTATTACCAAAAGATATATACTAAAATTCACATATATATATATATATATATATATATATATATATATATATATATATATATATACAGATCTTCTTGGTAAACTAATAATACTAATTAATATTTTTAACTCAGCTAATCATTTGTATTTTGTCTCACTTCATGACAATCAAATAAAGTATTTATTGAATGTATCAAAAACATTTCCATAAGAAAATATAAACGACTCTAAATAGGACGTTTATTGTCTGTAGTTAAAAGAAATTATAAAGACAACCTGAGCTAGTGATGTCATCTGATAAATGCAATGCTGTTATTGCCCAGTCGCTATGTTACATCCTCACATACTAATCAGTTAATACGCACTAGAAATTATAATCAATCCTTTGTTAATTGCCGCCAAAGAAATATAAATATCTGCATCGAAATTAGGTACTGTAGTCTGTATTAGATTGGTTGAAACTCGAAGATTACTTTCTATAGGTATACATTGAAATAATAACATCTATATATATAAATTGCTATATTTATTAGGAATTCATTGAAATAAATATATACATATTTAAACCGCAGTATGCGGCATAAACATGGTTTTGATAAATAGGATTACTTAGTTTAATCTTCAAAAGTGTAAACAAAGTTAATTTATTTTCATGTAGTTGTAAATTTTTGGATTGAATTAAAAGTGTGATGAGCTATCCTTCTAACTATTCTCATACTTAGAATGAAGCATTAATAATAATATTTTAATATCCTATGAAATTTTCAATTGCTTTTTCGTTTATGTCTTCTATGTGTACGAAAGTTGTTCTCCGATATAAAATTGATTGGCTAAGTAGACTATGTTACAGCATAAGACTTTGTGCTGTAACTAACTAAAAAACTTTTTTATGGATATAAGTTAGGCTAAGGAGTTACAAACATAGATATAATTAATTAATTTCGTAATTTGTAATTTCGTAAATTGTAAATAAACATTTGTGTATGCTTAATTGTGCAACGATTTATATCACTGCTTATATCAAGAGTACTTTTTATATTGACGGTATATAAAGTAAAAAAAATAGTAATAAAACTGAACTACATCTAGATTTAGGTCAAGTTTCTCATACAGTAGGTACATTTTGTTAGCGAGTACAATAGTGTTTAATTTATATGACATTGTAAATGAAAATATTTTTGGTAGACTTTAACCAGCGAAGTTTTCACAGGGGATATGGAACAGCCGTGTTTGAAAAAATCCGACACCGTATACAAAACATCTTTGTGTACATTCTGTTGGTCAACTTTAAAAAAGAAGTGAGTTCTATACATACAGACCCTGTTTAACTTTCACTTGTAATTTCATTAATAATTTAAAATAATTATATCATAAATAATTCTTTTAATGCTACTCATGATGACGTAAAAGTAAATTTTGTTTTTCTTTGCATACCTATAATAACTAATTTATCTCGATTGTTTCAGAAAATAACTTCGAACAACAAAGATTTTTAAATGAAACTAATATTTTTGTTGTTATCATAAAAGGAAGAAATGATTTGCAGATTTTTATTCTGAAGTTTCGTTTTGTATTGTATGTCAAATAAGTTACGCTAAGTCATTATGATATGCTATTTACAATATAAATATAGAATATTTTTTTATATAGTTTTCCAGTATCTATATATAAAAAATAAATTATTTTATAGCTAAATGTTATTTTATTTTACCTTTATTATTCTTAATATTTATTGCCTTCTCAAGCTACTTCTCATTACAAAAAAACTTTGTTATATAACTTTTATCAGAAATTAAATATTTTTATATAATAATTTAGTATGTATATTTAAATAATCAGCTATTTTCGTAACATATTTTTGTTCGCAGAACGGTTTTCTTTCATTTTTCAAGTATAAGAAAAACTTTGAAATAATTTCGAGATTTTTTAAATGGGCACGATGTTTTTTTTATTAATTTATTTGAAGGAAAAAAAATTTTAGTTCAGCTTTACACAGTTTTACTTGAAATTGCAGTCGGAAATTTTGAAACTTGTGTCCTCTAACACACGTAAATACTGATAAAAATTAAAGTCTACTTACTGTTTATTTGGTTGGTAATAAAAATAGTGGTTAATAATAATCAGTGTGGGAATAATTTTATATTAAGCATATATATTTTAATAGAATACAATTATTTTCCTAAAATAATTATTGGTTATAAATTTGGGTTTCTAACAAGAGAGAAGATTACTGGTAAACATCATATTATATAACAAAAATATTTATTTTGTTTTGTCAAAAATATATTGGACTATGAAAAAAAAACACAAAATTTAAAATGGCACCGTTTATTAACAGTTGTATACTAAGCTTTGCTACACATAGGTTATAAATTTTGTAAAGAAAAAGTCACAACCAGTGCTTTCATAATAGGTGGTTCAAATTGTTAAATATTTATGCGGTAGTAAAGAGTATTAGAATAATTTCGATGCTCAAAATTTTTATAAAAATTTTAGTACAAAATCTAATATAAATACTACTTATTTTATGTACATTCGTAACCAGACAACATTTAAGATATACATAATATTGATAAAATAAAATACAAGCTTTTGAATACAAATAAAACTAATTATAGAAAAAAAAGGTGTCCGTTTTATATTTGTAAGACAATTTTGAATTGTAACTCTTTAAGTACCTTCAAATTAAGATATATATGCATATGTGGTCACTGAAACGTATGCTATATATTTGGAAAATTTCAATATTAAGTCAATAATTTTAAGTAAGACAGTCATAAGTAAGATGCGCTCTCATAAATCTCAACTAATTAAGTATATAAACTAACCTATAACATAGGTTATATTTACTGACTAGTAAAAAATCTAGTCGTCTCCCCCCACTGATCTTAATCTAACATAAATAATAAAGGCAAGTACATATTTACAGAATAAAACAATTATAAACTTTCATCATAATACCCACTAGTGAAATGCAAATAAACAATTACCTTGTACAACACGGGTTCCATACAATAACAAAATGTGGCCGTAACACATACTTAGACAAAATATTTCCTCTACGAAGACATCACAGTCAAATGATATTTTATATTACAACTATGCAGACCATCTCTACATCCAGAACATTCTACAACAGTTTGTATTCTATGTACATAGTTAAACTAAAGTTTAGTTCCATCGGTCTATTCTATAGTAGGGAGCGGCTATCGAATACTGGTTCTATCTCGACCTATGAAAGGACTGGACTCATGATTATTCTTCTCCAAGTTACCGGATAGTGTCGGATCCGGACGACTTCTCTTGAAGAAACCGAGTTTCCATAAAGCAATTATGAGAAGAATTAGAACTATTAAACCAACTATTACAGACACTATGATCACCCATAAAGGCACTTCCGAAGGTTCACTGATCTTCAAATCGGGATAAGCAACTGTTTCCACCTGCGAAGAAGAAAACTTAAAGTTAAAATATAATCCCATACCTTCAAAGAATCTTTCGTAAACCAAGATAATATTAAATACAGAGCTAGAAAGTTTTCACTTTAATAAAGCACTAACAAAGTTGTAATAAAAGATAGAAGGTCCGCCACTGAAAAGCCAATTCATTTTTTTCTCACATTGACTTGACTGTGGGTGTTAGCCCTAATGGCTTTGAGAGCGTTACTGGGAGGGATACTGAATAGTAGCACAGTAGTAATAATTGAAAATATATTTTAAAACATTATATTTTAAATAGTTGTCATAAAGCAAAACTTTAGAAAAAATGTATTTTAATTAGTAATGAGAGAAATAAAAATGTGTTATACTCACAGTAGCGAAGTCATCGTGTTTCTTGTTCTGGTGTATGTTATTGTCTTGTATGTGTATGTAGGCGGTGGAGGCGATGTTCACGTGACTGACTCGAGGGTAGTCCTCCACCAGGGTACTGTTCCACAGCCGAGCTCGGACGGTGATCGTGGTCGCCTGCATGCGACCCAAGCGGTATATAACGCATTGGAACTGTATGCATTTAGCGCTCTTCTTTTGACAGTTCTGTAATATGTAAAACGTTATTAATTTAATACATTTTAACGTTATTAATTTAATACATTTTAAATAAATATTTTTTTGCATTATGCTGGAGTAATTTTTGTTTTCTTCTATTCATTTCTGATGTATTTAGACAGTTATTTAGAACTGTGATTGTGACAGTGAATTATTTGTATATACATATAATTAAATATCTATCAAACGTAATATTACTTTTCTTAAAAGTATACTCTAAACTTACCATATTAACAACATGTTTTCTTTGTCCATCCTTGTCAGTGTAAGCTTCGGCTTTAACGATATCGCTTTGTCTTTTTCTTCTAACATTTTTGTCAGTGCCGGTTGAATAACCCACTATTTGGTTTTGAACTTTAGTGAAGTTGTGGCTCTTCTCGCTGGAACTGACGCTGAGTTTGCCAGAACTTAAGAAAGGATCCATTTCGAGGTTCTCAAGATATGGTTCAGCACCACCCGGCCGTGGTGTAAGTTTAAGGGGATTGATCTCGTTACCAGATATAAAACAGTTTCCATTACTTTGACCTGAAAAATACTTCCATTATCAAGAAATTCACCGCTCTTCGCTCTTATCACAATGGAACTAGATCAAAAATTGACAAAACAGTCTGATTATTTCATATATTTTACTAAATTGCTGTCCTTTCACATACTAAAAATTATTTCTTAATTATTTTACCTGCTTCTCCATCAACCGTTGGGATATCTTCAGGATACAGCAACCATTTTCCCTGTGAGTTTTCGGATGCAACCTGATGAGGCCATGATATCACAACCTGGACCAAAGACACTCGCCAGGGACCTTCGTTGAATATCTATAAATTGAAAAGAAATTCATTGTTAATAAAATTTTACCTTTACATATTAATACATGAAGAACAGTAAAAATAAATATATCTTATATGTTTATTTCATCTAGTTATAATAAAGCAAAATTTTAATCAATGCAATCCAAGGCTGAGTTAATTACCTGATATGTGTGCACGACTCTAGTGCCGATATCATCAAAGTAAGTCATGGCAGATTCTCCCTTCACCTCGCCGCCGTAGAACACTTGCTCCGGTCGTGCGGCGCTGAAAATATTATTTGAATAAAATAAATAAAGCTTAATTATTGTACATTTTTTCCAAAATGTGTAAAAATTCGAATATCATTGAAGCTATTTATGTCGATAAATGTTAATCTATGATCATCCAAAACAGGGCAATGTTAATTTTGACACAAACAACAAGATCTGATATGATATCCCATACCCTTTAATTTGCAATTCAGCGTTTTTGATAACCAGTGCTTCAACTTTTGCCGGTTTCTTTTCAGGATGTAATGCCTTTGATGTTGAATTTGCCCAAACAGTGAAAATTACAGAGGGCTCGTTATCTTCCAAGGCTCTCGCATCGAATCGCATCGTTATTGGTGGATTACCGTCTTGTTGCTTCTTGAACGGGTTCTCGAGAAGGCAGGACACCGTCGTCTTGTTAACACTCGTGCATATCATGTGCTTGCCCTTGATAGATGTAATTTTGTTTTTAATCACACAAAAATATTAATATGAATAGTTCTGTATATATTTAAGAAGATATTCCTTATATGCAATGAGTTGTAAGAGAAACTAATATTTTTCGGATTTTACTTCGCGTTTTATTTTTGATTAGAAATACTACATACTCCCGACGTTTCGGCTACTTTTCAGTAACCGTGATCACGGGCAGACGAGATGTGAGTGTCTGTCAGTTGGTCTGGTTATTTTATCTCCTACCGCCTACCTAACGTTAAAATAAAACGCGAAGTAAAATCCGAAAAATATTAGTTTCATTTAAATGAGTACTCGCGAAAATCTTAGATCTCATTTTGAGTTGTAAGAGTTTTACCAGTATACATTTAAATGAAACAGATGTTTTCAGATTACAAGGCATTATTTTTTAATGTTTAAAACTACAAACCTATAATTAATTTCGTCTGGCCGTGATCACGGTTGCTACAAATTAACCGAAAGGTCAGGAGTATGTAGTTTTAAAATAAAAATATACGCGAGTAATCCGAAAATATTAGATATATTTCTATTTTGTAATTGAGAATGCAGATAAATAATATGATATTAAGTTAAAACTAACTGTAATATTCGCAGCAATGTAGTGTAAACTGGCATGGTGTTGGACGAACAGTTGAGCTTCATACGCAGATTCACCATAATTGTCTACTGATATAGAGAGTTTTATTTCTTCTTCCTGGCCAAGAGTTAAGGCATACGATTTTCCGTCCTCGGCTGAAAGATACAAATTATAAAATTTAAATTAAACCATCTGTAAAGAGTAAACAGAATCGGCGTAGTTATGTAACAAGATGAGAAAGTTTATCATTTCCCCAGTGTAAACATATAAATATATTATGTTTATATTATTAAGTACAAATGGAAAGATTCTCACAAGTTATCAAAATACAATAATGTAAAAGTTTGGTACACTATGGATTCTTAAGAGTAAATCAAAAAGGCAACATTTCTGTGCTTATAGGCAATTGCATAAGGCCAAAAGGAGACACATATTTCGAGACATATGAAGCTATTTGTATAGGTTTTTTAATTTACTTTTTGGTAATTGTAGTACAGGATCCACGATCAGGTCGCTGACGCATTCTCCGTCCAAACCGCAGTCGTTAAGGAAGTTAGCACTGAATGATGATGTCGCGGTAGCATTCAATACTGGATAGTCATCTATTCTGGGTAACTCTCCTACAGTCGAGTATTTCGGTTGGATCTGAACTATCTTGTAGGTTACTTGAAACTGCAAATAATTATTGTAATTTTAATACAAACATATACATATTTTGACAAAATTTCGTTGATATTAAAAATTATATAAAAAAGAAGATTACGCATTAAACCCAAATATAAGTTCAGTATTTAATTGACTGAATACAAAAGTTCAGTTTTACTAACTGATTCTGCAAATCGTTAATAATATAACAATATCCTTACTTTGATTGGTGTTTGAATGTCTCTGGTGTTATTTTTTAAATACACGACATGTTCTCTGCAATCTTCCACATCCTTGCCCAGATGTATTGTTTTATTGATAATATTAGATTTTTCCGAATCGAAGAACACTCTGGAATATTTTCTTCCACCAGGGAACGTTTCAGCTTCGATGACGTAATTCAATTCATGACTGTTGCTTTGAGTTGACCGTACGAGAGATTTGATTATACAGCATGCTTGGAAAGTGAAGCAAGTGTAGTTAGAATTAGGATCTTTTGTACAGCCTTGGACGGAAGGATCTATATTGATAATAGTATTCGATGGTTTAATCGACGTCTTTATGTCGATTATCGGCTTCGTTCTGATAAGTGCGATGCTACTCTGGAATATCAAGATATTAAAATGTAGTGACAGCCTTAAAAGAGCAGACTAATATGTACATACTTTCTACAATACTTACATTCTCATAAGCACCGACTAATAAATCTGGATATCCGTTCTCATCTAGGTCCATTCCGCCAGATAGAGAATAGCCAAATGTCCTCATAACCGTTGGTAAGGATTCCGCTCTAATAACTTGATCTGGTTTCGCTTTTAGACCAAGTTTTCTATCTCCCATATGAATGTAAACAACTCCATTGCCTTCGTACGGACTGCCTATGGCTACATCTTCACAACCATCTCTATTTAGGTCTCCAGTATTAGCAATTGCAATACCAAATTGTGATTCAGGCTTGCCAGTTAGTTTGAGACTGTAATCTTGAGGGAGATTATGGTTTTCATTTAAGTACACATATACTGCACCACCAGCATCGCGTGAAAAATAGAATGGTGCCCCGACCAATAGGTCTGATAATCTAAAAAAAAATGGAGTATGAGTACATAAACTTTTGTTTCTTCAATCAAATTTTATTTAAGAAATGTTCCTTACCCGTCGCCGTTTACATCTGCTGAAGCAACTTCGTATCCAAAGCTAGAACCGAACTGTTCGCCATTGAGGACCAGAGTAAAATTAAGAATATTCACATCATTTCTGGTCCAGTCAGAAATAACTCGTTTACTAAATAAAACTACTTGACCAGTTCCATGAGCACGTGGGGCTCCCGCTGCATACGATGCCTCCGAGCCGAAGAAATTAGCACCAGATACAGACATACCTGGAATTTAATTTATTTTAAAACATTTTCTGCTTGTAAAGAAATTTTAAGTAATGGAGTGTAATTAAATTATGAAATCGACTAGTTAGAACTAAGATTTTCGCGAATACTCATTTAAATGAAACTAATATTTTCTAATTTACTACGCGATTTTTGATTTTTTGACTCTAAACTACATACTCTCGACGTTTCGAGAAAAACGACGAAAATACTAGTTTCATTTAATAAAGTAGTTGTCACAAAATCAAATGATTAGTAATTCGGAAAAAGTTATTATTTTAAAAGAAAATTTATTACATAATTTCCTCACTACATTATTTGACGACTATGAGATGATTTTTATTATATTTTTATCAGTAATTACAAAAGTCAATTTCATTCTGTACTAACTAACGCACTCACCTAAATAGCTATACTTCTCAACTGGACTGGCTCCATCTTCAACTGGTGCCATGTAGACAACGTTATCACGTTCAAGCAAATCATCGTTGGTATCCTGAGTGAAAATGGTTCCTCTCCAAGTGTATGGTCCTGGACTGCCTAGAACTAATGTGTCGTCTTCAAGAAGAGAACTACTTGTTCCAACCTGACAGAAACCAAATTCTTCGTGTTCCCTGTAATAAGAAAAAAAGAAGGATATATTCGAAGCTAGAACACATTAATTAGACCTTCTATATCTTAACATATTTTGAATACTTTTCATTTCAAAGTCAAAAAAGTATTATTATTAATTAAAATATACAAAAAAATGCGATATGTATTACAAAATTATAGTTGCTAGATATGTATGTACAACTATAATATGATGCTAAATTGAATACAAGATTACAGCGCAAGCCTATAACTTGATTATAAAATCTATTTGATATTCACACAATTCTCCTAACGATCTAACCAGCACGTATAAGTAATTTGTCTATTTGCATACATGATAGTAAAACATATATTATCTTTATACTATAATAACATAAAATATTACCTCTGAACCGACCGACCTCGACACGGCTCCCACATGTCGATCAACTGGAGGTCATTACTGAGAGTGTAACAGAGCCCTTGTCCAAATTGAGACTCTCCAGATTTGCGGATATATCTGTAAACGAGGAATAAAGACTTTATTCATCCATTTACTCGTTATTGACAACTGGAGCTTAACTTAAAATATTTAAGGCTTGTATTTCTTTTTTAAATTAAAATTTTGTAATAACATTTAAACGAAACTAATATTTTTCTGATTATACTACCCGCACTTTATTATTGTAAAAATTATATACTCGTTTCGACGATGACACATTCATCTGCTCTTGATTACGGTTGTTCAAAAGTAGCCGAAATGTCGGAAGGATGTCGTTTTTACAATAATAAAATACGGATAATATTAGTTTCACTTAAATGAATACTCGCGAAAGTCTAATTTCACTTTAAAAAACTAAGTAAAAATGTTTATAAATATATTATTGACCTGTGTGCACAGACGACTGCCTTTTTCCCCGCACCCTGACTCCTGACAGACACGCCGAGCCATTGACCGTCCTTTATTTCATCTGGATGAGGCCCAGTCAAATGGAAGGAGTCAAGACCTAAATATAGCCATAGCCAATTACAATCCAAACATTATCGTCGTAACATAAATCAAGAGGCAAACCAAAGAATACTGAGAATTAGTTTCGCCAGACTAATCTCGTAAATAAAGATCATATCTAAAAGCTTCAAAACAATAAAATAAATTAGACACAAAATTAATAATCCAAAATGTGAGTAAAAAACGTTAAAACCCTTTTTTTGTCTTAATCCATAGGTTATGCGATATATATTGTGTGACTTTAATATACAAAAAGTCTCGGAAATGCTTATATTTTTATTCAGAAGACATGAAAGAACCCAAGATCAGACCAAGTTGTGGATCGTTGGCAAAATATGCAAAGCATTGTAATCCAGGCGTGTATGATGCTGACTTATAACTAGGAGGCAAATAATAAAAACTTGCAAAATAACATATTCTTTGCATACATAGTAATAAAACTATCATTCATCATCGACCAAATGTGTTGCATGCGTTTTATATAACAATAAAATATCTCAGATGACGAATGTCTCCAACAACCTGTAACGTGAACTGTAAACATACGGCGTGAAATATGTTTTTATCGTGTGGTCTCGGGTTAATGGTCATTATCGAATACTACATTATGTTAATTTTGAGATACTGACAACAATTAATCAGTGGCCGAACAGTTAATTCACCTGATACACCAATTAGGTTTAATTTGTATTAAGAATGACTAATTGTTACTATATGAGTGTATTTTTACTGTTATTCGGCGCAGCCTTATCAACTATTTTTCATTACTTTGTTAGACGACGTTGATAAATCCACAAATAAAGTGGTTTTTAGAACGGAATTATGCTACTCGATATATTTTCTTACATTTTTTTTATTGTTATTTGTTTAACCAGTCACCTTAGTCTATTTTGCAATTTACTTCTATAGGTTATCCCATATAACTAATTATGTGCTACCTAATAAATATTTTTTTATGTTTTTTCTTTATATCTTAGTGATAATTTAATGTGTCAAAAAAGAAGCTGATTTAAAATTATGGTTCTTGGAGTATATACAAAAAGGTCATTGTTGAATCTATAATCCAATTTTCTATATTTTTATTGTGCACGTAATAAAATTAATTATAATTCTGTAATATTATATTACGCTGGCAGAAGCTTGTGATTTCGTGCTTGTGCAAGCAGTTAGTGCTGATTTACATTTTATTTGAAATCTATTTTCATAAATCATCTTAATATTGATATTACAACTGAAAATAAATTTCAAATGATTCAGTGAGAATTAAAAATAAAATGTTTATCATTCAGTTAGTTCATGCTTAAATGTTCGAGGGCATAGCTGGAACGGCAGACACTATTAGTATGTCAAAGTACAGATATTAGTTGATATTAGTTAAGGAGCGAATTATATGTAAAGGCGATTGAGACCACAGCTCACTTACTCGTATTTATCTTGCCGTACTTCGCTGTTTTGGGGCACCACCGACAAAAGACAACAGTTTCATTAAAATGTCACAATAATAATATTATGTTCCAGCGTTTCCTTCCTACAACTAGAAATTGGTGTTGCTCTACGGTAAAAATCTATCCATCGTGAAGTTTGTGCTTGACTATAAACTACTACTAATTTTAAAATATTCTACATTTACATACATGTGAATGAAACACGTAAAATTTACAAAGTAACATTTTTATCATTTCAAAGATAAAATGTATATGAGCTGTAAAGTATACAAAGTATCTCAATCGTAAAATATTAACGTGAATTCATGAAATTTCTAATGAAATTACCAGCGTTTCGATTGCTATCATCACTTTCAAATCCGGTTAACATTTTATTTAACTTCAAAGAACTGAATATAATTTGGATAACTTAAATAAATTAATTAGAACACATTTTAATCCGTAATTCTAATCTATTTGAGAAGGTTTTATAGCGTCATATAATCCACATACTTCGTTTGCCGTCCGTGACTATTTGTTCGCAGTCATTAGGAGCTGAATTCACTCTGCACCTCCATAGCGCCCCGGATTTCGTCGTATTCGGCTGCAAATTCTGACCCAATGGAGCACCAACTAACAACCTGAAAATAACAAATAGATTTGATTATTTATGATGGTCTTAAATAATAGGGTTATAGACAGGGACACTTCGTGTTGCGTAATTTCTGTAGTTCATGGATATCAGTAGTTGTAGTTGAATGGGGCTTTAAGTTATTGATATTGAGGAAGAAATAATTCATTTGTAGTATAATGTACAATATAAGGATTTGGGTTCAATATATATAAACAAAGTATATCCATAGTTATAATATTTTTGATATAATTTATATGGTAATGGTGATTCTGTTTCCTATACAATGTTGACCTGGAAAATTGTCTTACATACATATATTTTCCATATTATATACGACTAAGATCTCCTACATTAATGTATTTGATATTATTGTGAATAAAATTCTATAATTTAATAGTCAGCAAATTATTGTAATCGAGTAAAAGGGTAGTAATTAGTTCCGCTAAACTTATCTTTAAGTTATTACCGTGTTAATAATGCGTGTCCGTCATTTGTACAAATTACATACTCATTTGTATAGAACTCACATATAATTAAAAAAGCAAGTCCCATGCAGGCGTTATCTCCCCTTTTATCCCTTTTAATTGTTATTAGGTGCCACTCTTATCAACAAGGAAAAATGTAGTGTATCACGAATTTTTGTGAATATATTAATAGTAACATTAATGAGAAAATAAAAAGAAGTTATAATATTGTATTACAGAACCATCGATCATACCTAATCAATTACAAGTCACGCGTTCGACAATTCGGTAACCAATAAAATATACCGCGTTTAATTTACGCAGCGGGGTCCATGATTGTATTATGTACCCTCATAGTTTAACATACCATAAATCATACTTCACATCTTCATTTTATTCTATTTTGATACTTAAAAGAAATTCTACGAGGAAGAAACCAAAACGACCCTAGACGTGCATAAATCCTGATTACGCATCATTTCAGTGAACATAAAATTTTATTGGTGCATTTCTGATTTAACATTACCACTGGAACATTGTTTGTGATCTCTGAATTCTGTACGATTCAGTTTTAGACACCCACACGAGTTCGTTGAACCTTATATGAAGGGATAAAGAAAGCGAGATACAATTAAGTACACATTGTTTCGCTCGTCATTACAACAGCTTATCTAAATAATTTTAAAAGCACCGGCCTCACTCATATATTAATAACAAGAACGAAACAGAGTTAGGATGAATGGATGTTACCAGTGGGTGTTACTTTTCAAACTGCAAAGGTAATCGGTCAATTCCCCATAACCAATTTAATTTACAAAGGGTTCATAATGAGAAACGGTACAGCGCCCACATGACTACGATCGATCTTGCCCTCATTGGGGTAATGCGAAGTGCGCCTACGCTTCATAGTAATGCATTACTATCATAATAACTATACTCTTATAATATATTAGTCATCAATATTTATTTCAAATATAATACTAATCTTATTACTATGAGCCTGTAATATGTTTCAGTGCAATTCTCCGTATATTGATCGTCTTCGAAGGTTAATAAACATGATATTTGGTCACAACGTAAACAGCAGTTTCTTAAACCGCTCCTAGTTATACCTCAAGCGTCGAGGCCTCACCCTACAAACAACGATAAATCTACATGGCTCTGCTATCAATCCTTGACATTGGCTGATAGCAGTGCCATATTGCACTACCAAATAGATAAGATTACATTAAAAACGCATTTCGTGAAATAGTGGCTACTCCAAAACCAACCAGTTTACTTAGAAACCCTCTTTTAATTAAATCTGAACGAATATACTGCACGTTTGATATATTTTTTGAACAATATATCCATATATTTCTTCTTCTTAGATCTTAACTAATTATTTTGATATAATACGGGCAATTTATCAATTTAAAATTAAACTAAGTTTAATAGAATTTTTAGTAAAAAAGTAAAATAAGAAATCCGGAAGTATCTAAAATATTAAACTCATAGTATTATTTATTAATTAGTAAATAAATTAAAAATGTCTCTAATAAAAGTACGTTTAAGTTAAAATTTTATATTTAACCTTGCACATGTCTTGAACAAAAAATACTATAGCAATAAGATTTTTTTCACTAATCATATATTAAAATTAATATGAGAAGCCATTAATTTCAATCAATAACACAATTGACAGTCCAAATCAACGCTACATAAAACGTCTTTATAAATAAATGAGGTAGCCAATAAAAAAGTAATCTATTGGAAAGACTATTAGATTAAGTCAATTGAGGAGATCAAAGCATATCATGATACGAGAATGCCTACACGCGTCGTACGTGAGCACACAAGGATGTGCTGGGAATCCAAACACGTACATACTATTCATATATTACTTTCTATTGAATCTTCTATCTAATATATTGATTACAATCAAAATATTTCAAATAATTCTCCATTATATGAAATTACAGTGTAATTTTTGCAGCTTCGTTTAAAGATTAAATTTAATGTTCATGTGACTAAATTGTTTTGGTAATGACCCTACTGGTTTAAGTACGTAAATATTGTTTTTTGGTGGAGTGGTAGCGAGGTCCGTCGTTGGGGGTCCACCGCAAACACTTTTGGGGGCCATTGTCGAAAGTTTATGGCCCAATACCCACAAAAGGAAAACTCAAATGTAACTCCCGGAATGTTAGCCGCGAGCCAATTTTGAACTCGCTTAGACTATTTTAATTAACATTTATAAAATGAGATGATAATTGACTTTTAAGCGGAAACTGTCTATTACTTAAATTATTCGGTTCTGACATATTTAAAAAATATGTTTCTAATCTCTAAATTATCTAGTTTTGTTTTGTATAGTGGCAAGGGTATTTTTTTTTGACAGAAACCATAAAATAGAGGTTCAAATTAAAATGATTTTGAATACACGAAAGAGTATTACTGTAAAATAATAATTTGATTTTTTTAATGATTTTGTCTCTTAACGGTATTTCAATTTCTTAAAAGAAAGGAAGTACGAGTACTTCGTGTGTGGTGAAAATTATTATGTAAATATTCAAACAAACGCATATAAATTGCATTTATGCAATTCGAATACAATTTGTCATAACTTTATTTACGACTTCGAAGTGGCGCATATTTATGTGATATTTATTAGAATGAAATGCAGATAGCTTTTTGAACTTTCAACTCTGTTTAGTTATATAATGTGTCTTCAAATTATATTTAAATAATAATAGTCATGTCATTTATTGGGCTTTTTTCTAATATAACGTACATATAGAACCTCGTCTTTTTTTTAATGGAAAAATATTATAAGACAGTGTTTCACTCTTGATTTTTACCTTTTATTTACATAAATACTTAAAAAGATACTTTATCTTGTAACTTCAACAAGTATCAGTTGGTAACGTCTATAAGATTTACTTACAAAATAAGTAGGTAACATTTTAACGTTCTTCTTTCAAGTAACTGTTGATAAATACTCCCATACATTTTAATACTAAGTATTCATCATATAAATATTTAGAATTAAGATTTAACGAGATATTCGGCGATATAAAGGCATGTTTGTATCCTCTTGAACATATGGCCGTTAATAACTAAAATAAACAATGAAATAAAAGCTTATTGATGGACATTAGCAGCGAATATGTGGGTTAAATTGACGTCACTCAAAACCTTTCTAATCATAACCCACAGCTTTCCCCATACAGTCGGCCCTTGTACTATGAATTATAATTAACAGTGTCTATAATTATAAATTGAGTGACGGCTGATCTTGACACTTCCATGTTTAAATAAAGAGTTATAATACATCAAATGCTTCATAGAGGCTGAAAAACAATAGAGCCCTTTCACTTCGCTCAGAGATGACACCTCCAGGCGTAAATCCATTATGCATCAACGTATGTGACATAAAGAATTTATTACCGATGTCGGCATGATGAAGGAGGCTGAGAAAACGTTTATGATTTAGCGGTTCTTACACTTACGTTGCTTTGACACCTTTTAACATCTGCAATTTCAGTTATAAAGCAATAAGGATACGATATTATTATCATGTATTATTCTACATGTAAGAATCCATCTATCAGAATTGAATAGACCCAGCAGTATGTAAGATAGAATAGCAACTCTCCTTTTATTCAGAAATTTTTAATTTATACATTTATTTCAAGGCTAGTGGATTATAATTTGCCTATAGTGCGAAGTAAGAAAATAAAAAAATGTATTCATTTTCATATAGATTAATACAAAGTTACATTAAATGACTCACATTTGCTAAAGCAAGATACGTGATTTAATTCGTTCGAATAAAGGAATTCTATAAATATAATGATTCCAGCAAAATAAACCATCAATCAGGATTAGTTCATCCATACCGTATCGAAATTCCGAAGGGTTAAATTCTTCTGTATTCAAGTAAATTCAAGACTATAACAGTTTCAATTGAATTATCGCGTCAAGTTGGTTACAATCTGATAACAAAGCGACCACGTTTGATATTTCCTTTTATATAAAGGGCAAATCGTGTACAGGAGCCCTTAGCAAGTGCGAGACGGTATTATCGGTCGGAGTGATCTTTCATTAGCGGTGTGCGGAGATAAGTCTCGTGACTTGCTCATGTTCGTATGGATACTAACACGAAAAAGTTTTTATTTACAGCCGCATTAACACGACATCCAACAAATTATTATTTATCTTTAATCTAGAACACTCTCTGGTAACTTTTTAACAATACGGTTTTGTTGCTGTAATCGTTTTTTAAAATTTATTCTTCATATGATAAACCATGTGTATTTTCTTATTAAAAAATGATGATAAAATAATATCAGAAGAAATTTATTTCAATAAATTACTTTAAGATTACTTTTTTTGAGTAACATTAAAAGGTACCTTTTATATGTGTACATATAAAGTGACATGTCAAAGTTGTGGGTAATGATCATCTCATTTCTTTAACAGTCAGCTGATGCTCATAAGTTATTTCTACTAATAGGATTATCCCTTAAAAAGGCCTGACAAAGGTTCTCAGGAGAGGTTGTAA